TGGAACAAGATGATCTTTAGGGTCCCTTCAACCCCCACCATTCCAGGATTCTATTCAAGTATCCTGTCACTGCCAGATAGTTCTGTGGAGCCCCCAAAGGGCCAGCATGCCTTGGAGGTGTTTCTGCCCTTTCCTGTGTGAAGCTGCAGGAGCAGGACAGCAAAACCTGTGGATTTTGTACAGGTGCTTCCCTGGTGCCTCCAAGCCTTGCCTTGACAGAGTTTCAGAGCTTGTTCTGGTTTGCTTGTACCTGTGCTCACTTGGAAATCCCACCCTGGTGCCTGTGATTTCGTGGCAAGCTCTGCACTTTGCTGCCTGCACCACGTAGACACTGCTGCGAGCAGACAGGCACAGCCTTCCCTGCTCCTGCAGGGTAATCAAACTCTCTTTAGCACAGCCTGTGTTTTGCAGCTTCCTTGTCTGACATTGCAGCTTGGATTCTTTTGGCTTCTGGAAGAAGGAGGTGTAATCTGCTGCTTTGTTTGTCAGGGGGCACTTCCCAGGTCTGAGATCCATCAGTTTCAGTTCCATTTGAGTCTGATTTTCAAGGCAAAAGCCTGGATGATCATCTCAGGAGCTGTTAAGATCAACTCATTTCTTCTTTTAGTGCTCTGAAATTATTCTAGTAGTAGCTAGAGGCATGCTGAGAGTGATTATCTTAAACCACATCCATAACTCCTGGATGGAAAACAGAGGACAGGGGGATATAATAAAATTCTCCTAATTTTCTGCACTAGCCTCACAGGCCATGTGATTCCCCCTCTTTGTCCCCTCAGAGGTGATCAGGCTGTGTAATAAATGGCAATGAACTTTGTTTCCCTCCCAGACCAAGAACCTGGACTTCCGCAGGAAGTGGGACAAGGATGAGTACGAGAAACTCGCGGAGAAGCGGCTCACGGAGGAGAGGGAGAAGAAAGATGGTGAGCAGTGTGCTGGGTTGGCACTGAGCCTCCCAAACCCTGGGAATTTGGGAGGGACAGAGCAGTGAGAAGTTGAATCCCAAAGGGAAAGAGCTGGCTTGTTCCTTCCCTTTCTCCTTTATTTGCCACTGAGAATGTTTTTTTTTTGACAAAAGAAATTCCTGAGAACCTTTCCAGGGCTGACTCTTCTTTGGGGAAGGAGGACTCTTCTTGTTTCCAGTCATTTGCTGGAAACAAGATCTCAGAATACAACTCAAATCAGAGCTGCAGATACTTCAACTCCTGGTTCTAATAGGAACCAGGAAACAATGAGTAGGAAATTATATCCTTTACTGATTTAAAAACAAAGGTGCATTTTTTGCATGGATCAGGTAGTCCCAGATAGCCAGCAGGCCCCTCTGCACCAAGGGGAATGTGAGATCCAGCATGTCAAGCTTGACCTTTTGTTCATGTTTTAGGCAAACCAGCTCAGCCTGTCAAAAGGGAACTCCTGCGACACCGGGACTACAAAGTGGACCTGGAATCCAAGCTGGGGAAAACCATTGTCATCACCAAAACTACCCCTCAGTCAGAGATGGGAGGGTAGGTTGTGGTCTTATTGAGGTCTCAGAGTCATGCTGGTTAGACTGGGAAGCTGTGACACAGCAGGGACCCCTCAGAGGGCACCAGGAGCTGCTGTCCTTCTGTGTTTGGAGCCTGGCATGGTGGGGCTGCATTTTTCTACACCTAAACTGTGTCTCCTGGGGTAGCATATGGAACAGACCCAGCAGGCTGAGCCCCTTTGGACATTATTCCTTGGTATCAGTGTTGCCCACCTGTAGGACCAACAGAGGCAGATCTCTGCTGCCTGCTTGGGTCTTTAACCAGGCCTGCTTGCACTGAGACCAGGACTGCTGCTGATTTGGGTATCTGTGCACTGGGAATGGGAGAAACATCCAGGTAGCCGTTCTTAGGAATGGTGTTTGGCCACTGTTTGTGTGATTTGTGTTCCACCAAGGTCTGAAAGGCTTCTGAGCTCACCCTAAGCCATCAAAAGAATGTGTTGAGTTTGTGTCCCCTCAGGAGTGAAGCTGTTGGTGTCTCCCTGGGAGATGTGCAGCATTGACCAGCACCCAGGGGTGGCAGTTCAGCCCCTGGCTTTTGCAGCAGCTCTTAAGATGGGCAGAAGGCACAGCTGTGCTCATCAGGGAGTTGCACTGTGAGTGATAGGGATGGTGGCACTTATCTTGCAGCCAGGTGAGAGGGCTGTGGAATAGAAACCTGAGCTGCTGGCCAGCCCTGCCTCGAGGGAGGGCAGGCTGTGTCACAGAGCCCATCCCACCCAGTGGGGTGTGGCTGGAAGGGAAGATGCTGTGCCTGGTGTCCTGCAGAGCAGCTCAGAATTTGGTTTCTATCATGTCAGAGGAGTGTTAGTATCAGGGTTGGTACCTCCATGGCAGTCTGTCCATTACCCTTGCTCCTCACTGGGGTCCTCTTGTCTTGGAGAAGTGTCCTGTGTCCCCAGTGACATGCAGATTGTCCCTTCTGTGGGTTTAACTTTATGTCATGTCTTGGGGTTCATTTTTCTGTCTCTCCTGACAGGTATTACTGTAATGTATGTGACTGTGTGGTGAAGGATTCCATCAACTTCTTGGATCACATCAATGGCAAAAAACGTAAGGAGCATTTCTCTGCCTCATGGGAGGGTTGGTTGAGTTGGAGGGACTGTTCCTTTTGAGCATCACCCATGTCTGAAGGCTGAACACTTATCTATGAATCAGGGAGCTTAGGAAATCAGCATGTAGGAGTTCATCATGAGAGCTGTGGAGATGCTGCCCTTATCTCCTGACACCTTCCAGAGTGCTGGGCCATTTTCATGGAATAAGCCCAGCAGAAACAGTGATTGGTGTACTCTGTGGACTTATTTTCCCTGTCCTTCCTGTCAATGCTGTGAGAAACCCAGGGTCAGAAAATTCTAGACTAGTTTGGGTTGGAAGGGACCCTCAGAGGTCATTTAGTCCACCCACCAAATCATGATGTCTCCTCTGTAAACCTGGAGAGAGGCTTCTTACAGTGCTCAAACTGTACAGAAGTACTTAGATAAGTAAAAGGTCTGAGACTGGCTGATTTTTGGATCAGAAACTTCTCTAGAAGTTGAGTACAAACTCAGAACTGGCTGATGCCTGAGCTCTAGAGTATGGATCAGGACTATACCCTCGTGTATCTGACTGTGGATATTGCTTCTTCCTGGCATATTCAGAGAGGGGGGAATGTAGAGAAAGTAAAGGAGCAGTAGAACAGAACTGACACATTTTGCATGTTGTTCCTGCTCATGAAGGTATTTTTGGCTCCTTGTGGAAGTCAGAAAATCACCTGTTTACAAAAAGGCAGAGATGTGTGTGCTCTGGACCTGCACACAGGGCTGTTTGAGAACAGGAGGTTCAGTAGAAACCTGAGGACTGCTTTTCTGTAGCTCAGAAAAGAAAACACAGTGTTTTAAAAACCTTTGCTTTTATGTAGATGGGAGGAAGGTGCCAACATGCCTTGTCTAACATATTGGGAGATGACCAGGAAGTTCATGTGAGAGAATCTGGAATCAAAAATCCTGCCATGGCTGTGTGGATGGGCATGAGTTGTAGGGCTGAGCTGGGATGGAAAGTGTCTGCTTGCACACTACCATAGTATATAAGTGTGTCTGGGAACTTTTAAACCTGTCAGTAAATCTGGCTCAGACCTGCTTGTTCTTGGCAGCCCTTTTACTAATTCCTGGTGTGTAGTTTAAGCTTCCAAGTGCTGCTGCATCCCTGGGACAAACCTGTGCAGGGTTGCTGGAGGGAACAGGGTGTTTGGATCCACTCAGCAATGTGGGTTGGAGGCATTTCTGGGGGTGGCCCTGTCAGCATAGGCTTACCCACAAGTGAAAAACTGTGAATCTGCTCTGAAGAGCCCCTGAATCAGGCCTGACTTTATATTCTCTGCTTTAGCTGGGAATGTCCTGTGTAATCAGGATCTCTGAGTGCCACTCATGTCTTGTTTAGCATCGCCCACAGCTGAGAGATGCCAGCCTGTCAGTTTTATTCTAACTCCTTTTTCAACACTCCAACCCTTTTTTATTCCACTGGTCCAAGATTAAATTTCCTGAGGCATCAGAGCAAATGACAGGGAGCATCCAAATAAGGAACCTTTAAAGAATAGTCTGTGTTCTTTTTACAAGTAGTGTTTGGATTGTTGTGTGGGTTATGGTATCCCCCTAAAGCCCACCTCCCCAACCTAAGAAATCCTTAATCTGATCCTGGAAGTTGCTTTGAGGGGAATGACAGGCAGGAAGGTGGTGCTGTGCTGTTTAAATTGGGATCAGGGATGGAGATTTCATGCAGATCACTGCTGATTCCACTCGTGTTCTCCAGACCAGAGGAATCTGGGCATGTCCATGCGGGTGGAGCGCTCCACGCTGGACCAGGTGAAGAAACGCTTTGAGGTGAACAAGAAGAAGATGGAGGAGAAGCAGAAGGATTATGACTTTGAGGAGAGGATGAAGGAACTCCGTGAGGAGGTGAGTCTGGGCAGCAGCTCAGGAAGCAAAACTCCCCAGAAACAATTTTTGGGAGGAAATCAACCCTGGTTCCTACTCTTGTTCTTCAGAAGCATTGTTCTTGGTAGCATGGGCTTCTCATCTGCTCCTATGAGTGGAGTTTGTTTTTCTGCTTTTAAAAAGTTTGTGTTGCTGTCCCTAGAACCCCTTTTCTCCTCTTTATGTGTGAGAATAACTCTTGATGCTTCAGATTTCCACTCAGGACAGCACAAGTCCATTTTTTGTCCCCCACTAGTTTGTTGGAACTTGTGTGGTCTGGTAGCAGATCTGCATTTTCATCCATTATCTTCCACAGCTCTTAGGATTGCTGGAATCCCCTGCACAGGGCATTTACTTCTGTGTGGCCTCCCTGAGTGTAGAAGGGCTTTGTGATTGGTGTGCTGTGATGCAAGATTTGTGAGGAGGTGGTAAAAGACAGCAGATTGCTCTCAAACTGGCTCTTGGATGTTAGTAAACATGAAAACCAATTTTTTGAAGACCCAACAAAGTTCTGACAGCTGAGAAGCTTCTATGGGTGCTTCTCCTCTATTATCAGCCACACAACCAAAGGTTACAAATCACTGCCTGTTTGAGTCTCCCTGCCCAAGCCCTGAGCTTTGCTTCAGCACAGAGGAGCTCTTTGGGGTGCTCACAGAGCAGCCCTGTGCTCTGCTCTCGGGCAGGCTGTGGTGCTGCTGAGCCCCCTCTGTTTGCAGGCTAGGAGGGAGCTGCCCCAGCAGCAAAAGGGGTGCTGTGGGTTGAAAAGCTGCTGCCAGTCAATGAATGGCAAGAAGGAAATCAGCAGCAGCTCCTGATGTAGCTTTCTCCAGGGCATAGCTGTGTTCAGGAGCACAGAGGGCAGTGATGAGAGTGGTGGGAGCAGTTGCTAAGTTGGGAGCTGAAGCCATGCTTTGGTGTCACCCAGTACAAGCCTGGCTCTGTTCCAGGGCTCATGATCCTCACACAGCAAAACACTTTGATTAGAGCAGCTCAAACTCTTTGATGCCAAAACCCCCCTGAAAGCCTCTCAGAGCTCCAGCCTCTGTTCCAGTGAGCAGCTGTCACTGTGCCAGGCTGGGAGCCAGCAGGCATCACAGTCACTGCCACCAAGCTTTGGACAAGGGAATGGCCTCCTGCTTTCAAACCAGCTCCTTGTCCCAGCCTTCATTCCAGGCAAAACCTGGGATGTTTGCTCAGAAGGGAGAGTTTGATAATGCTTCATTTTGTCTGTTTGTGTGTGTGTCTGCTCTTGGCCTGGGAAATGGGGTGGATTGGATTCACCAATGAACTTCCTCCTTGAGGACTGCAGGCCAGGATTTCTGCTGTTTATTTCCTCAGGCACAGCTTGGCTACTGTGGGCAGGATTTGTGGTAATTGTGCAGTATCTGGTGTCTCAAAACTCCTTCAGCTCAGGAGGTGCAAATTGTTTTGCTGTTGTGTCCCTTGCTGCAGGAGGAGAAGGCCAAAGCCTACAAGAAGGAGAAGCAGAGAGAGAAGAAGAGGCGGGCGGAGGAAGATTTGACCTTTGAAGAGGATGATGAAATGGCAGCTGTGATGGGTTTCTCTGGTTTTGGCTCAACCAAAAAGAGCCACTGAACAGCTCTGGACTCTCCTCTTTCTCTAAACAGCTTGTTTTTACCCAGGGAACTCTGGATAACTCTTCAAAGACTTGATTGAGGACTTGTATGTAAATCTCCCAGTAGAAGTTGGCTGGAAGAGTTGAAAAGCAATTCCATACTCTACCTGTGCTGCAGATCAAGCTCTGCCTCTCATTAGCTTCCCTTCTCCTTCTGTGTCCTAGATCTGGCTGCTCTGTGGCTGTGTGTGTGCAGGGAAGTGCTCTGTTGGGTACATTTTTTTGTCAATAAAGTGCACATTCTGCACAGGTGGCCTGGTTCAGGATTAATCTAGTTGTCAACCAGGCCCTACTTGTCACCCAAGCTGTGTTTGAGATGCTGGGAGGGATTCACTTTTAGGCTCATAATGAAGGAAATGTGCCACAGCAAGCAGTGTGAGAGGTGCATCTTTATGGCTTGTGCTGAGCAGAGCTGGTGGCTGCATGGAGTCTGGGTTGCTGAAACTTTCCTGTGTGTTTTTTCTGCAAGGGAGACTTCCCTCTTTTTCTTTGTGTTTTAGCCCATAATTTGAGTATCTTTAAGGCAGGGGAGAAATTCCTCACCATGACTGGTCTAGGATAGAGCCAATGGAAGAAAGGTGTGTACAATTTGCCAGAAATAAATGGAATGTTTTAATGGGCCCTTTGGTGGGGTTTTGATGCCTTCTTTATTTTGAGAACTTTGAAGAGCACAGAGCTGGGGTGGCGTTCTGGGGATCCAGTGGTGGCAGAGGTGAGGTGTGTGCCTTCCTCTCCTGGCTCAGCTCCCAGCTGCCCTAGGCAGACCATTGCCATCATTCTTGCCTTTTTTAAGTAATTCTGGAGATGGGTGTGAGAATATGGAAGGGGAAGGGAGTTCAGGGCTGGGGACCTTCATTCCCATCAGGCAATCCAAGACAGGCTGGGCTGTGTTCCAGGTTTTACCAGCCTCAGTATATTAAGGGCCATTTTTTTCCTGTCTGCTGGCTGTCAGTGTCTTTTCACCTCTACCTTCCCCTAAATCCACTTCATTTCTGCTTTTATTTACCTCAGTCAAACCTTGTGTGACTCATTTCCGTCTGCAGTTAGGATTTATATTTTGCATGGCTGGGTTTTGGTAGCTCTGTCTCGCTCTCCTCTCTCTTTTTATGTATATTGATGAAATCCTTGCGCTTGCCCTTCTCCGTGCTCGTATGAAATTTCCAGCCTGGGGAAGGCTGCAGTGTTTAGCCTGCTCTTTCTAATACATCTAGAACAAATCCTGTAATGTTGTGCTGCTGTTTTAATTCCTTAATCTTAGCCTGCTGACAGCTTCATTGCCTCAGGTCTTTCCGCTTCAATTCAGATTATAATCCCCGTTGAAGATGCTATTGAAATGATATATAGCCAGTCAGATACAGCTGTCCTTGGAGGTTTGACCCTTTTAACTTGGCAATCCTTTGACTTTGGCTCTCTGAGCACACGGGCTGGGAGGGCGACTTTCATTCCAGCCACGTTCCTGGCGCTGTTCAGGCTGCAGCACGTGGCTCCGGCTGAATGGGAGAGCGGAGACGCTCGCGCCTTTGTGCCCTCCGGGGTGCGAAAGGGATGCTGCCGTGCTTTCATGCACATTAAAAGTTTAGGATGTTTCAGAGAAGATTTAGCAGCAGCCATTTTATTCCAGCCACCAGCTTTGCAGACACCCAGCCCCTCAATGCAGCTGTTCAGTTGGAGCTGCTGAGAATGGGGCAGAGGCTGCCCCACACCTCCCATCTTTTCCAGCTTGTGACCTTGGAGCCAGTGAGTGCTGTCTTGGTTTTCCCACGGTGTATCCTGGTCTTGTCCATCCTGGCACACCCAAGGGGCAAGGTGTGAAATGGGCAGCCCCACAGAAACCCTCCTGGGCTGGTGGTGAGGTTTGCACAGCCTCCTGCCACTGGGCCCTGCCTGTCCCTGCAAGACAGGGAGGAAATCCCTCCACAGCGCAACGCTTTCAATAACGAGAGATTCCTCTTTGGTGTAAAGCCTGTCATCCCCAAGCCCTTCCCGAGGCCACCTGCACCCTGGGGGCCAAAGCCCCAGCCCCAGCTCCCCGTGCTGGGGCTGCTGGCGCCGGGGGAGCGCAGCTCTTTGTCTCGGCAGCTTGCTGGGAGCAGTGGTGTGTGCAGCAGCAGATACAAGCTCCTGCTGGATTCCCAGCAGCGGGAGCTGCCTCTAGCCAAGGATGAAAAGCTGGTTTCATGGGAGGAAATAATATTTAGAGAAGAGACAGATAACATTCCCTGTACCAGCCATGTTAACTCTTTGCTCCCACCACTGCTTGGTGAGGTGTTACCTCCTGGCTCTCAGCCCCCAGTCTGGAGCAGTGATTCTCCATGGCTCCTTGTTAGCATTTGCCATCTCCATGTTGAATTTAAGGCGCTGATGGGTCAGGACTTGGGGCTTTACCTTGAGAGAAGACCCAGCTCTGCAGCTCCCCTTCTTCTCCTCACCAGTGAACAAGGCTGGGGTGCTCCATCCCTACTGGTTCTCATTAGCTCTTCCACAAGTTAAAACTGGGGTCTAGTGGAGTAAGGAGAGATGTTTTGTGTGGTTTGCTCATCCAGGCTGGGATGTCCTGCCTGTTCCTAATGTGAAAGTGCTTTGAGGTGCCTGGAGCCAGCTTGGAGCTTGTTCCCAGTGCCTGGGCAGAGGTGAAGCTTCCTCGTGACCTGTGGCATGGAAGACCTGGAGGAAGGCTGGGGACTGTGCTCAGCTTGAGCTGACCTCCCTTGTCTCCATCCCACTGACTATTGATGGCAGTGTTTGGAGAAGTACTCAGGCATCACAGCAGACCCCAGAAAAAAACAAATCTGTCTTGCCACCTCCACTTCCCCTCTCCTGACATCTCCCCTGGCCTCATCCTGGGATGAAGGGCTGAGGCCTCATGGAGGGGCTGGGCACAAATACCCAGCTGCTCTTCTTTCTTTCCTTCCTGGGCACCCTGGGAGGCTTCTGGGCACTTCCTCAACCCCACCTTTCCTGCTAAACCACCTTCCCCTCACTCTCTACACATTCTGCTTGGGACAAGAGGAGCAGCAGCAGCATTCCCACCATCCCAGTAAGATGAATGGGACCAGAGACCTGAAGTGATTCTGGAGAAGGGGTCCCAGCCTGGCCCTGTGTGTTACCCTGTCTGGGCTAGGTCATTTCCTGTGACTTTATTAGCAGAAAGACCTGTTTTTTCAGCAATTTACACCCGTTTTACATCCTGGAAGATTTAAGTGCTTGGCAGGAGCTCCAGTCCTCCCACTGCTCAGGCCACAAGCTACTGCTGCCCCAGTTAGGCAGGGATTGCTGCCATTTGCCAGTGTTAAAGCTAAACAACATCCATAGGCAATATCCCTGGGAACCCTCCCTCCTGCCTGGCTTTGACCTGGTGCAGTGGTGCTGGCAGTGTGTGCCACCACCCCTGCTCTGTGCAGGCTCCTGGGTGTCCCACGCTGCCATCAGTCCCATCAGTGCTGTGGCACCATCCCACACAACTCCAGAGGCAGCATTCCTGTCCCCTCCCAGCTCTGTGGAGAGCTGTGTGCTGAGAGCCACCTGGATCAGTCAGGGCTTGGCCCAATCTCCATCTTGCCCTGCCTTCCTTGTGTGGGGACAACAAGGTGTCCCCAAGGGAGAAGCTGATCTGTGCAAGGGCAAAAGCTCAGCCCCAATTAGAGCTGGGGTTGCTGCAAATGAGAACAGGAATCACAGGATCCTGAAATGGTTTGGGTTGGAAGGGAACATTGAAGATCAGCCAGTTCCAACCCCCTGCCATGGACAGGGACAACTTCCACTGTCCCAGGTTGCTCCAAGCCCCATCCAGCCTGGCCTTGAACACTTCCAGGGATGGAGGGGCCACAGGATGGAGCGGCCACAGCTTCTCTGGCCATTGGTTGAGAAAGGGGTGGGAGGCAGAGATAGGGCGAGATGAAGATTTATAGAGGGGAGAATCCCTGAGCTGGGAGCTATTTGCTTCCCATCTGGAGCTTGGGTGGGAAGCTTGAATGCCAGCTTTTGCAAAAAGGATCAAGCTGAGAGCCAGGGACACCCACAGTGAAGTGGTGCTTGGCCTGGAGACCTTGGCAAGTTGGGCCATACTCCACACTCAAAATTTCTGGGGCTGAGCCAGCTCAGGCCGCAGATGGGGCCAAGAGGGAGCAAGTAGGGCTCTGGAGTGTTCCAAACTGGGAGGAAGGAGACAACCCCAGTGCCCCCATCCCTGTCAGGTCTGTTGCTGCACCCAGCTTGGAGGGTTGCTGGATGGATGGCTTCTGCTGGGCTCAGTGCAGGGCTCCTGAGCACAAGGGAGGTTTTGCTTTGTCGTGAGTGAAGTACAAAACCATCACCAGCCAGAGAACAAACAGCTCCAGGCTGCAGAGGGAGCAGGGAGAGGGAGATGGGGAGGAGCAGGGGGAGCATGGGGACAGGCCATCCGCAGGAGGTTTTTCAGGGACTTGTGATCTCAGAGCAAATTTCTGCTGTTGGCTGCACACCAGTGGCACCATTTCACCAACTCATGCGTGCCTCCCATGCCGGCTCAGCGCCCCGGGGGGGTCAGGGCCGCTCTGTGCAGGAATATGGTCCCTGCTCGGGGAGCGTGTGATCTGCCAGGCAGCCAGGGAGCCCCGGGGACACTGCCATGCCTTTGTTCCTCCTTCTCTTTCTTTTCCACCTTCAGATTTTTTTCCCTCTGCTTCCAGCTGCGTATGCAGCACTCCCCCTCCTCCGTTTCCACCCACAGTTCCTGTCTTGATTTTCCTTCCCCTCTAACAAATATGTGTTCCTTAGGCTTCTTCTCCTCCCTGCCCAGCTCCCCCCATCAGTGTTGCCTTCCCAAACTTCTTTTTATTTTCCCTTCGCCCTGTTTTCCCACAGGCCCGCTTCATTCCTTCCCCTTCCTGCTTCTCTCCCCTTCCCTCCAGCCTCTCGGGCTCCCGTTCACTCACTCCGTCTCCCCTTCTCTGACAGTTTGGGGAAAATCTGTCTGTGTCAACACAGAAATTCCATTATTTATTGGCTGAGTGGAGCAGGGTCCTACACTCGTCTGTAATTGTCTCCAGATCAAAGCAGCTGCTGATGGCAGCTTTGCCTTCTTGCAGCAGAACACCACCCCCAGCTTGCAGCTCCCCATCCTCCCGGGGGAGTCGGGTGTGTGTGCGTTGACACCCTCGATGACTGATCTCTCAGACAGAGAGGAAAGAAGTAGGGCTGGTGGGGGAGAAAAGGGAGGCCTGGAGGATCTGCAAAGCTCCCTGGAGAAGATGGGGATGGTGGGGTGTGTCTCAGGGAGGCAAAGTCCCTGGCATGGGGCAGGGGAGAGTGGGAGGGTAGAGGTGGTCCCTATCTGGGAATGGAGACAGAGAAACGAAGTGAAAGAATGGACAGGGAAGCAGGAAACATCCCCATATCTGTCCAGGACTGGAAGAATTACATTTTAGAAATGGGGAGAAAGAAGAACATCCCTTTTCAATGCCTTTCCCTTCTGAAACCACCAACCTATCCCAGGGATGTGGGACTTCCACGTGAACTGCAGGCACACAGTTTTTGTTTGGGTGTTGATGCAAGATGTCTGTGGGGAGAGGAAACATCCACTCTGACTTCTGCCCCTTGGCCTCCTCACTGGGGTGCCAGTTCCAGCATGAGTGGAAGAGCTGCAGTGGTTTCTCTGTTGGAGGAGGTGAGGTCAATCAGAACCACTCTTCCCAGGCCCAGTCTTCCCACTTCAGCATGATACACTGGGGAATTTGGGAATATTTTGTTTCATGTGGATCTGTGGACACCAAAAGACATAGACACCATCAAAAGTCCTGACAGCTTGGTCCCGTCTCACTGCTCAGTACATGAAGCTGTCAGACTGAAGCCATGGTTCTGCATTCCTTCTAACTGTCCAAAGCATTTCCTCCTGGTAACACCTCCCTGGCCCTACCATCATTTCTCCTCTCGTTTCCTTCTCCATAGAGTTCAGGCAGTTTCACTTACACTTCTCCCTGTAAGGTATTGTTCCAAGCCTTTAATCAGTTTTTTTACCTTTCAGAACTTCAGGCACAAGAGTTGTGCATGTTATTCCAACACCAGTCACCCTGGTGCCTGACAGAGGAGAGGTGTCACCTCCTCTCTCACAAAGCTGCTCTTCGCCCAGGCATTCATCACACACACTGCAGCCCACCTTTCTTTCCTGCTCACTGTTCCTTATTCCTTCCCAGCAGAAAGGAGACATTCCCTCAGGACATTTTAGGGATACCCTCTTAGAGCAAAGTGAGTAGTCCCAGCCCTCAGGATAATGGGGGCACACCCCCCTTCTTTTGCTTTGGGTCCCAAGTCTGTTACTTCAAGTGGAACAAGACACCAGCCATGAGAGCAGCTCCTTTGGCAGCTTGGGTTTGCAAGAAATTCCCCCCACCTCCAGAGGAGGGGGGGAAACTTGGTTTCCTGAGCTGCCATTGAAGTCTGTGTCCTCCAGGGAGTCAGAACTGCTCCCTCAGAGGCTGAGCAGGCCTGGGCCCCATGTCCTGGAAATGCTTAAAAGGAGGTGACAACAAGGGAGGGTCTGCTCAGAGCTGAGCCTGTTTCACTTTCCATCTGTCCCTGGCAAAGGGACTGGGGAGTTGTCCCTTTGTGTGTCTGTGTGGGCCAGGAGAGTCAAGTGCCTTCTACCAGTAGTAAGCCTTGAGTTGGTCACCTCAGTGACATCTCCTCACATAAAAACCCTCTGGAGCTCCATGAACACATCATGTCTGGTGCAAAAGTTCTTCCTGCACCTCTGCAGAGGAAGAGGAGGGTGGTAAGCAGCTCCAGCACCTTGCAGAGCAAAACCCATGGACAAGGACTTCCACTGGGAATGGAGTCCTGGCATCCTTCATTGCTCCATCCACCCCTGGGCATGGGGCCTGTGAGAAGTGGCTCCTGACAATCTGGGACCTGTGCTCTGCTAGCCTGGGCTATCTGGGCAGCTCTTTCCCTTGCTTTGGTGCTACTTTGCTTTGCTTTTCTTGCTACTCACCTCTGCTCAGTGACTGGGACTTTCCAGGTTCACGGTGGTGTTGGGACCCTGGGGCATCCCTACTAAGAGCTAGATTTGGCAGCTCAGGACTATCTCCAGGATGACAATCTCTGCCCCAGTCTGGTTCCTGTGACACCTTCATTGTGAAGATTTTTTCCTTAATGAGAATTTCCTTTCTCCAGCTCATGCCCCTTCTTTCTCACCCTGTCCCTGTGCACTTCTGAGAGGAGATGGGCACGTGTCATATCTTGCATCCCAGCACACAAGGGCAGGCAGAGTGCCCACCAGCCCTGATAAACATGCCAAGACAGCCACCATCCCCTTCAGGACATGGGTTTTCCACCCAAGCGAAGGCAGGGAACCAAAGTTTTGAAGTGGAAGGAGCTCTGCTCATGGCATCCTGCTGCAGAGAGCATTGTGGCTTCCCAGACTGAATCCTCAGCGCCTGACCCTACAGAAGCAACCCCGGAGTGACTTCCCAGCTGCAGGGCCAGGGCTGCTCTCATTCCCACCAGGAGACCCCCCCGTTCCCGCTGTGTTTGTCCTCTCGGGGCACCACAAACCTCGGAGCGAGGGGGAGCATCCGCATGCACGGCTGGGCAGAGGCTGCCCTGGGCAGCTGGGGGAGGAGCTCTGTGCTCTGGCAGGGACAGCGCTTCTTGCAGCCCCTTCTGCTGCCCCGGAACGCAGCAGGCAGGAAAATGGAGTGGCAGTGGTGGCTGGGCAAGGTTTGGTGCCCACAGGCAGCCGAGTGTTGTTCTCCCCCCCGCCCAGTCCTTTGCTCTCTGCGTGACTTTTCCAAGGCAGCTCAACCTGCGGCGTCTCCTGCTGCATCCCACATCCCACCCTGATCTCCCCGGCTGGCCGTGCCAAGGCTCGTCAGAGCTGACCTGAGGCAGCTGGCCACCCGCCCGCCTGTGCCAAGGCATCTCAGAGAGACAGACCCCCCTGCAGCTTCCAGCACTTTCCAAAAACAGGCTCCTAGCTGCATCCTGATTCCCTACCCCCGGAGATCAGGGCTGGCAGCTGAACACTATTCTGCACCACAAGAGGGGCCTTAAAATCTGTAGGGTATGAGGTGGGGTGTTAGTGGTGCACTGTCGCCATTCCATCCCCCCATCCTGCTGCTCACCCTCCTCTGCTCTGTTCCCCCCAAAAAAATGCTCTTCTTTGGATTCCTCACCCCTCTGCAGCCCCCTCAGCCCGAGCCATTTCCTTCAGGAAAGGGATCCTTGGAACAACTCTGTTCTCCCTAACCTCTCCCAGCCCCCCACCCCGTTTGACCTTGGTCCCCTGAATCGTGGGGTCTGGGAGGGGAGATAGAAGAGACTACAAGGTTTGGGGAGATGAGGAAAAGGAGCAGGATGGGACCATCCTGTGATGTCCCTTAGGGGAGGGAAGCAAGGGGGGACATGCCACGGTTTCCCCCTCAAAGGAAGCAGAAATTAAGATGTGGAGGGATGGGGGGTGCCTTACCAAGCAGAGCTGGAGGAGGGCGGGAAGGACCAGGCAGGGAGCCGGGGGGGTGCTCGGATCCTGCCGGTGCACCTGGGGGAGCAGGAGGTGGTGGTGAATATTTTACTCTAAATCAAACAATAGGACCGGAGCCGCTCCAATGATTTTGCAGAATGCGTTTGGTCGGAGACGGAGGAAGGACTGGAGGGAATGAAATAAGACCCCCGAAAATTTCTGTGTCCCATCTCGCCCCCACCCTCAATCCCCCTCTGGCCTGAGCAGCACCAGAGGGGGCTCCCGGAGGAGCAACACCCGCTCCATCCCACCATCCCACCTCCGGCATCTCAGCCCCGGGAGGGCTGGGCGGTGATGGACGGAGAGAGGGGGGCGGGCAGGGAGGGCGCGAATCGGGGATTGGAGGGGGATTAGAAAGAAACGGATCGGGGCGGGGGTGACAACGACGCCGCCAGGGGTGGTCTTGGCGTGGGAGATGGCGCGGGGGACAGGCTGGCAGTGACCGGCGCTGCCGATGCGGGCTGGGCTTCACTCACCGGAGCCGTCCCGATTCCACCCGCGAGCGGCCCGAGCCCACGCGTGCCCCAGGAGCCCCGCTCCTTCCCCCTACCCGCCCTCCTCCCCGACCGGCGACCCCACGAGCGCGGCACGTCCCGCGTGGGTCTCGCTGCGCTCCCAGGGACCAAATCCTTTTCCCAACCCGACAAACCCCACCAGCTCCGCCGCCTCCTGCCTCCTCCGGTCTCCCGGTCGGCTCTGGATCCTGCTTCCCACTCGGGTCCCCGTGGGGAGCAAGGTGGGGGGAGCGGATGGAGCCGGCCGTTCCCTTCCCAACGGGGACCGGTGAGCAGAGACAAAGGCGGTGAAATATCAGTGCCCGGCTAAAGCGTCTCCGAGCCCCTTCGAGCCTTTAACTGGATCGTTACGGGATTATCCGCACCCTGAGCAGCCGCGGGGCGGGGGCCGCTGCCGCCCTGTCCCGTTACCGAGCGCCCCCGGGGACGGCGGCGGTGGGAGGCGACTCACGGAGCTGCCCGGGCGCGGCGGCGGCTGGAGCCGGGTCTGCGGGGAGAACGGATCGGCCGGCGGAGGGACCGTGAGCGGTACCGGGGCGGGCAGGGGAAGGGGGGGCGCAGGGACCGCCGTCTGTCGCGCTTCGGGGGCCGGCGGGGGACCCGCGGCTCGCTCCGCTCCCGCCTCCCCCTCGCCTTCCGCGGGGGGCGCAAAGTTTGTACCCGCGGTGGGGGCAGCGCTGGGGTGCGGGGAGGCAGATCCGGGGGTATCTGGGCAGCATCGTGTGCCGAGAGCCCGAGGGGGCTGACACTGGGGTGCCCGGCGGGGGAGCGGGATTTGGGACGCGGGGCTGGGGGCAAGCGGGGTGTCGAGGGTGGGAAGGAGGCAGGGAAAGAAGGGGGGGGGTCTCTGTGCCTCCGCGCTGATGGGCTCAGCTTTATCCAGGGCTGTAATCCCCCTGCTCCTGTAATTAAAAACTCCGCATTACAAGGAAAACGGTGTGCAGGGAAATGTAATCAAGTCTGGAGGGGCTTAACCATCTGGTAAAGGTTAGGACCGGCACGGCGGGGGACGCGGCCGGGGGATTTGGCAGCAGCCGCGATCTGGGCTCCTCTTAATCTACCGCGGGTCCGAACGCAGCATCTGCGGGGTAATACCGGTGCCCCGGGCAGCGATCGGTCTTGCTGGAGCTCCCACAGCCGTTAACGGGATCTCCCCGTTAGGAGAGAAGGTGGTCCCCTCCTCAGGTGCGTCTAGCTCCGGTAAACAGGTTTTGCTGTGGCTCCGGGATCCGGATTGCAGCCCCTTGCGGGGGCCAGCAAAGAAAGGGTTAAGCCGCTGCCGGTGGCCGCGGTTCGGCCCCGCAGCTCCGGGCAAGGCCCTCCTCCGCCGCCCCCGGGAGCCCTGAACTCTTTGAAAGTGCGAGAGGCAAGCGAAGGCGAGGGCGGCGGCGCGGGTGCGACTTCTCGTTCCCGGGACCGCCGCGGGGCCATGGGGGCCGGAGCAGGCTCCGGGCCATGGGGACAGCTCTTCCTCCGCTCCCTCGTCTTCCTCCTGTTGGCCGGACCCCCGGCGCGGGGGCAGCTGCGCTACGCCGTGCCCGAGGAGCTGGAGCACGGAGCCTTCGTGGCCAACCTGGGTGAGGACCTGGGGCTGGATGTGTCCACCCTGTCAGCGCGGAGGTTCCGCATCGTGTCGCGGGCCGGGGCCAGGCAGCACCTGGAGGTGAACCTGGAGAACGGGATCCTCTTTGTGAACGAGCGCATTGACCGGGAGGAGGTGTGCGAGGGCGGGGGCACCTGCCTGCTCCACCTGCAGCTCCTCGTCGAGAGCCCACTGGAGCTCTACCGCGTCGAGGTGGAGGTGCTGGACATCAACGACCACGCACCCACCTTCCCTTGGCAGGAATATGTGCTGGAGGTGGCCGAATCTGCCGTGCTCGGTGCTCGCTTCCCCCTGGAGAGTGCTCAGGATCCTGACGTGGGCACCAACTCTGTGCACACCTACCGCCTCAGCCCCAATGGCTTCTTCTCCCTGGAGGTGCAGACCCGCAGCGATGCCAGCAAGTTTGCAGAGCTGGTGCTGGAGCGTGCCCTGGACCGGGAGCAGCAACGCGTGCACCGGGTGCTGCTCACCGCCCTCGACGGCGGCGTGCCCGAGCGCTCCGGCACGGCGCACATCCTCGTCACCGTGCTGGACGCCAACGACAACGTGCCTGCCTTCGACCAGCCCTCCTACGGTGTGAGCCTTCCTGAGGACGCTCCTGCTGGCACTCTGGTCATCCAGCTCAACGCCACTGACCTGGATGAGGGCCCCAACGGGGAGATTGAGTACTCCTTCAGCGGGCACGCACCGCCACGCGTCCGGGAGCTCTTCCACGTGGAGCCCCGGAGCGGGCAGGTGCTGCTGAAGGGCCGCCTGGACTATGAGCGGGCCAGCCTCCATGAGCTCTACGTGCAAGCCAAGGACCGCGGGCCCTCGGCTGTGGCCGTGCACTGCAGGGTGCTTGTGCACCTCCTTGATGTCAATGACAATGCACCAGAGGTGACCCTCACCTCAGTGTCCACACCTGTGCTGGAGGATGCCCCCCCAGGCACTGTGATCGCTGTTATCAGTGTTCAGGACCGGGACTCTGGGGACAACGGCCGTGTGAGCTGTGAGGTCGGCCCCAATGTGCCATTCGAGCTCCGCTCCTCCTTCCGGAACTACTACACGCTGGTGACCACGCAGGCGCTGGACAGGGAGCTTGTGCCTGAGTACAACGTGAGCATTACGGCCCGGGACATGGGCTCGCCTGCCCTGGTGACCCGCAGCACCCTCACCATCCCCGTGTCTGACGTGAACGACAACGCCCCGCGCTTCCTCCAGCCCTCCTACAGCGTCTACGTGATGGAGAACAACGCACCAGGTGCCTCCATCTGCTCTGTCAGCGCCTTAGACCCCGACTGCCAGCAGAACGCCTACCTGTCCTACTCTATAGCCGACGGGCACATCCATGGCATGCCCGTGGGCACCTACGTGTCCATCAACTCCGACAGCGGGCACATGTACGCCCTGCGCTCCCTCGACTACGAGCAGATCCGCAGCTTCCAGATCCAGGTGCAAGCGCAGGACGCGGGGTTTCCCCCCCTCAGTGCCAACGTCACCGTGCACATCTTTGTGTTGGACCAGAACGACAACGCCCCGGTCATCGTTTCCCCCCTGCCCCGCAACGGCTC